ATGAATAAAAAACGCTAAGGGGAAAAAATGGGAAAAATAAACTGAAAAACATCAACCCTGTCCAATTAATGCCCAAAAAAATCCCTATTCCATGACCTTTTTGCAAAAAAAAAAAAAAAATCTAAAAATATGTGAGCCTAACTCACGTGCATACACAATAACATCAAACGCAACAATAGACATTTTGTTAAAAAAAAAATGAAAGAAGGCTAAAAACTAAAAGCAAATTTTAAATACTATTAACCAATATTTTGTACAATACTCTGTTTATTCCTGTTCACATCATGTATACACAGGATGTTGCTGCCAATCTTATTCTCACATCAGAGTTTTGATTTGGCAGGTAAAATATTTAGTGTTGGAAATTATATTCACGCAACTCATCTTTGCTCATCATACGGGTGTCTGTAGGGAAGTGATATTCACTTAGAATACAGTTATTTAACATTGATTTTTTTCATGAATGCATCTTGGCATCACTGTCAGCACGTTATTTGTTATGACATGACTGAATAAATTCAGATGAAGCTAAAGTGGAATAAACTGCCAAATAGCATCACTGAAGTAAATACTATGAGTACTTTCAAAAAAAGGATTTGATCTGTCCAGCACAGGTTACAGAACTACTGCAGTAGTTACAGAACTACTGCAGTTACTTCATCTAATTCGCTTGTTCTTCCCAAGCCATGTAGTGCTTCCTTCTCTGTATAGAGAATATGTTTCTCTTCATATATCTGTTTTCTCTGGATGGACCATGGATATATTAGCGGTCATCAACTTTGATCCCATAGCTTTCATTTGCACAGAAGACTTTGGGTAAGGTGGGAGAGAGACGAGACAGTAGGATCACATTTAGTGGCCGCTAATGCAATGATGTCACAGAAGTGCTGGTTGTAAAATATTCATATTTATATCCCTCGCTGAATGATTACAGAGCTGGACCTGATATCCGCATGGATCACCATTCGAGACATCGTACATTCTTCTGTTGTTTTGAAGAGTAAGACACATATACAACAGTTGGGTATCTAATGCTGATTGGAACGTTTCGCCTACTACGTAGACTTCTTCCGCCAAACACAGAGAATAAACTGGAGGATAGCAGGCGTAGGAGCGAAGTAAACATCGAGTAATAAGTCCATCAAATTTGGAGAAATACGTTTTGAGGTGTTGAGTCCCTCAGCCTGGAGAAGGGTCAGCTTCATAGTCTGGAACAATGTGAAACTGAAGCATAAAAATGAAGTTATAAATACTGAGGAATGTGAAACGTGAAGGTCTCGAAGATGTAGCAGGAGGCCAGGACCACTGGTAGAAGTGAGAAGCAAGAACTTGAGCACTGCAGCGGGCAGTGCTCTTCGAAGGCAAAATGTTTCGATTAACAACTTGCCGGTATTGTATACCATTTTCATCATTCTGTTGATTTAGTGAGTTACTCGTTACGACTGATCACGTGTAAATGCAATATTCTGTATGTATCTACGGTATAGTATGTATACGTTCATGCATATATATATATATATATATATATATATATATATATATATATATATATATATATATATATATATATATATATATAACAACACTGCGACCAGCCAAGGATTCGAGCCCATGTTGTTTTGGCCCACCACATGACGCTCTAACCCTCAGGACCACCAAATCCTACAAGAATCACGCACCCAGCAGAGCTAGGTGTTTTACCGTGATCCGAGGACATATGGTGGTGTGGGTGCCTTTGAGCTAATTTCATTCTAATCTCCGTTTGGTGTACTAGCCTCAACGAGCAATATTTTATATTATTTTAACCATGAACGAATGGTATTGATTAGTAATGTGAGGCGGGCCAAAACAACATGGGTTCGAATCTTTGGCTAGTCGCAGTGTTGTTATTGATCAATACAACTCTTTCGTTTTTACAGTAATATAAAATACTGCTCCTGAAGGCTAGTACACCAAACGGGGATTAGAATGAAATTAGGTCAAAGGCACCCACACCACTGTATGTCCTCAGATTAAGATAAAACACCTAGCTCTGCTGGGTGCGTGATTCTTGTAGGATTTGTGGTCGTGTGGGTTAGAGCGTCATGTGATTTTCGCTCACTATGACGCATGCCAAAACGAGATTCAGCGATTCAGAAATTTTATTTACAAAATATTTATATGTTTTACTAGAGGTCAGGTTTTTATATATTTGAGTAATCCAAGATTTTCTAGCTTTTGCTAACATCAAATTATTGATTCCCCATGCTAATCCCTATACTATTCAGTATGCTAATCACTACGTTATTTCCCAACTTCCGCCGGGAAGTGCCGGGAGTGAGGATAACTGTCCTCATCCCCTGATCACACCTGTGTCAAGAATAAAAACAAGCGTATTGATGGCCTGTCTGTCCCTTTTCCACCACTAGAAATCTGGCCTCCCTGGATACCCTTTGTCCGCTGGAAGTCTTACTTCCGCTTCCCCTTGGAAAAGTTCCCGTGGACGACCACGTTCACAGGAACATCTACTCTTATGTTTCTCTCCATGGCTTGCAGGAGTAGATCTCTGTTTTTGCAAATGTTTATTCCCCTGACTACAGTACTGAGCCTAATACTAAATGAACACATATACTGTAATTACTGTATTGTGTGCTTAGTACTGTTGTTTATAATACTACAGAAACGAGAGTATCTGTAACAAGTACTTGGCTGTTTTTTCTTGCATCACTTTACATTTTGCTGAAAATGTGAGTCTTGCACTTTTTTTTCCCAAAACTTATGTAAGATCCATCCATCATCTAACTTATATGATGTGAAGGTAGCCCTTGCATCCGTCTCCATTACTCGTAACTACATGCGCGATTCCAAATATATTTACGTAAGACTTAGATTTATCAGACAATTTTCACATAGACAACTGAACATTAATATTCTCAGTAACTGTCAGTATGATAACCTGGTGACTATCATTTAAGAGTGTTTTTATATATCCTATCAACATAGTTTACAACAACGCCTCCTAAATAGGTTCTCAGTAGTTATTTTTATTTATTTATTTGAAGCTTGTCGTAGTTAATGGTCTGGTAAGTCATTTTCAGGAAGAAAATATTTAGTCACTAGTCTTGAAATGAAGAGGATGATACTGCATAAAATTAAAGTATTAATTTGAAGATTTTTTAACCATTATTGCCAATAAGCCCAATGTCCATAAGATAGATTCTGTTGATAGAATCATTACACAGTATGATTAAATTTGATTTTATTAATCTTTATTCATTTATGTTATTCTCTGATGCATGAATATGCTTTAACGTAATGAAGCATGTGTAAGTGAAAAGCAACATCCAGATATGAGAGTCAGATGTGAGTACGAGTGCACTACTGGAACATGACAATGCCTTACTCTCTTATCTTCTGGACACGGACGTGGGTTAGTGTTCACGCTACTCATTCAAGAACTCTCCTTGCATCAAGAACAGTGAGCTTGAGAGAACAAAATAAGAAGAGACAGCACAGGACAAGATAATGTCAAAAGCTGGAACACACGACACACACAGATGGGGTAGTGTTTCTGGCTACGTACTTGCAATATCTACCTGCCCTAGAGCAAGCCGATTCTGGATCGGTGACGACTAAAGGGGCGCCGGTAGTGCACTGGGGGAAAAACAGCCATGTCATAGTCCCTGCTGCCAGCTTTATTGTGTGGATGAATTGCGGAATAAATAAGGTACACCAAATTATTTAATATAAAAGAAAAACTTTGATCGACGTTCAAATAATAAATATTGTAGACTACATGGAGTGAAACACTAGCATAGAGAAAGTGTAGTGCATAGACTGGACAGACACCATTTAAGCAGATTTAAAGTATCGGTTACGTGAAAAATTTTCAGTGGAAGATTGATATCCCTTCAGGCAATATAGTATTAGGAAATGTGTGTATTGTGCCGTAAGTAAACTACTAAAGTTAAATTACGGTTGTAAAATTATCATTACTGACACGTTAAGAGAGTTAAAAATTTCGCTTGTGTGTAAAGGACAGAAATGTGAAAGGAAAAGTGGTAAAACAAGAGCAAGTACTACGTGATAGAGAGCATAAGAAATATTTGAGGAAACCTAAAATCAAAGACTGGCAGCAGTGACTTTTTAGAATAAAGACAGATATATATGAAGATGTAGTGGTGATCGAGAGGACTCTCACTCTCAGTATCAGAGGCAGCTGCTATTTTGGCAACGAACCAAATAAAGGAGCAGGTACTCATGCCGTGAACCACTGCAGGTTCTTCACATGCCAGACCATTCAACAGGAAACAAAGAATATGCAAGATATACTTAATGCTACAATTAACATATATGCCTATAACTACAGTATATCTATATTGCACAAAAAATCATATCATTATATACGCAGATGCCATGAAGAGCATATGACAATAATGTTTTGTATAAACTATAATTAAAAGTTTACGAAATTCTGAATTAATTTAAAATTGGAAAAGGAATTATTGAAGCTCTTCATGGGAACTTTTCCTGAAGCATATTTAGCCCTAAGCACTTGAAAAAAAATTTATCTGGTTACCACGAGGAAGGATTAACATATTTCTTCGCAAGTTGCTTTTAAAATAATGAACATTAAACTGACTAGTTCTCTTGATAATATAAAAGCCAATAAAAGCCTAAATTTAAGAAGGACTAAATACAAATTTACTAACAATGAAAGAAAATAATGAAATGCCATCCTCAGGCAACCTTTGCAGACGTATATACCACATAAAAATCTACAGCATTACCATGCAATCGATTTCCAGCAGCTAATTCCCATCACTAATATCTTTAATTTATAATTCTCTCTCGTTACATAAATTTTGCATAAAAAAATATATAAGGTGAGGTGCACAAAATAAATAAGTTTTACTCTGAAAAATATAGCATTCTTAAAAAATAAAAATAGACAAACTTGAATAGTCAATAAATATTAATGGAGGACTGTGCCATACCAAGACCAACAGCTGTGTACTTACTGAAAGTTGGATAAACTTCTTTCTCCTGGCATCGCTGGCCCTTAAACCCTTCAGCACATCTAATGACAGAGGAAAACGTTGATAATGAACTAATGCAAGTATTTGTTTTCTCTTTAAAATATGGAAATGTGAAATAAAGGAGAAATAACATAAAGGAGTGTGAGTTATACGAGGGAGCAGCCACGGCTGTGTACCCACTGTACTCGTGGATCAAGAGGGAGCAGCCACGGCTGTGTACCCACTGTACTCGTGGATCAAGAGGGAGCAGCCACGGCTGTGTACCCACTGTACTCGTGGATCAAGAGGGAGCAGCCACGGCTGTGTACCCACTGTACTCGTGGATCAAGAGGGAGCAGCCACGGCTGTGTACCCACTGTACTCGTGGATCAAGAGGGAGCAGGCCACGGCTGTGTACCCACTGTACTCGTGGATCAAGAGGGAGCAGCCACGGCTGTGTACCCACTGTACTCGTGGAATCAAGAGGGAGCAGCCACGGCTGTGTACCCACTGTACTCGTGGATCAAGAGGAGCAGCCACGGCTGTGTACCCACTGTACTCGTGGATCAAGAGGGAGCAGCCACGGCTGTGTACCCACTGTACTCGTGGATCAAGAGGGAGCAGCCACGGCTGTGTACCCACTGTACTCGGGGATCAAGAGGGAGCAGCCAAGGCTGTGTACCCACTGTACTCGTGGATCAAGAGGGAGCATCCACGGCTGTGTACCCACTGTACTCGTGAATCAAGAGGGAGCAGCCACGGCTTGTGTACCCACTGTACTCGTGGATCAAGAGGGAGCAGCCACGGCTGTGTACCCACTGTACTTCGTGATCAAGAGGGAGCAGACACGGCTGTGTACCCACTGTACTCGTGGATCAAGAGGGAGCAGGGCCAGGCTGTTGTATCCACTGTACTCGTGGATCAAGAGGGAGCAGCCAACGGCTGTTAAACCACTGTACTCGTGATCAAGAGGGAGCAGCCACGGCCTGTGTATCCAACTGTACTCGTGGATTCAAGAGGGAGCAGCCACGGCTGTGTACCCACTGTACTCGTGGATCAAGAGGGAGCACCACGGCTGTGTACCCACTGTACTCGTGATCAAGAGGGCAGCCACGCTGTGTACCCACTGTACTCGTGGATCAAGAGGGAGCAGCCACGGCTGTGTACCCACTGTACTCGTGGATCAAGAGGGAGCAGCCACGGTTGTGTACCCACTGTACTCGTGGATCAAGAGGGAGCATCCACGGCTGTGTACCCACTGTACTCCCTGGATCAAGGGGGGAGCAGCCACGGCTGTGTACCCACTGTACTCGTGGATCAAGAGGGACATCCACGGCTGTGTACCCACTGTACTCGTGGATCAAGAGGGGGCAGCCCCCGGCGTGTACCCACTGTACTCGTGGATCAAGAGGGAGCAGCCACGGCTGTGTACCCACTGTACTCGTGGATCAAGAGGGAGCATCCACGGCTGTGTACCCACTGTACTCGTGGATCAAGAGGGAGCAGCCACGGCTGTGACCCACTGTACTCGTGGATCAAGAGGGAGCAGCCACGGCTGTGTACCCACTGTACTCGTGGATCAAGAGGGAGCATCCACGGCTGTGTACCCACTGTACTCGTGGATCAAGAGGACAATACTAAATTACGCTAATTTACCATCACCATCTCTCTAATGACAACTTTCTTCTCATGGACTATATGTTATACATGTACTGGTGTTAGGTTATAGTGTTGCATAGGACTCCTTATATTAGTCGTTGATAATGAGAAATTTGATGTTAATCAAACCGTCCCACTGACTGTTTTATTGACTGTTAATATTATCCAAATATTTGTGGTTGGAAATAGTGTCTTGAAAGAAATATTTTAAAATTATTTTGTATTAGGTATAATAATAAGAGGAATTTAAATATTATACCTGGGAGTATTTTTAAAAAGACACATATTTAAGTGAAATACATGATGTAAACATGTTAGATACATGACCTAGGTAAAAATATAACAAAGTATCAATTCTACTTGTCCTCTTAAATCAGGAGCTTTCGTAACACATGGAAGTATATCCTACCTGCACATTATTGATAGTGTAGATCAAACAAAATGGAAGATGGCGCTTATCATTACTATAAAAATGAGATGCATTTTAAAGATATCATAAGCATTAAGGATCCACTTGTTGAATACAGAGTCGTATATTTTGCCACAGTACTGTAATAGCTACTGAAGTTAGATACAGAGGTTTTACGTACTACCGTCATATACAAAACTGAGACAGTCAGAGACCTAATAATTATTTAAAAATCTACAAAAACACTCAATAAATGGTGGCAACTTCAGTATTAACCAAGGCCGAAGGCTCCCAAATTCCGAGTTTTCTAAACAGAATTTCTTAAACACTTGCTTTTTAAGACAACCGCGTAACACTAAAGTAAATATTTACCAGTATAAGAGCCCTACAAAAAAAGGCATAAGTGGTAGCTCAGTGGTAGTGCGTTCATCTCACAAGCTAAGGACGAGGATTTAATCATGAGGAAAACGCAGCGTACAGAGAAATCTCATAACACCTGCTGCCCCTGTTACCCAGTAGTAATAAGATCCCTTGAGGACAGTCAGCTCTTGTGGGTCACATCCTGGGAAAAATCTAAGGATCCCAGTGGAAATAAGTTACACTACTGGGCTTTCTTGGGTTGTACTGGGTTACTAACTAACCCTCCGGGGTTACTGATGCGAGTAGTCTTTTTAATCCCCCACCTTCATAGCAACAAGGAAGCCAAAAGTGACACTGGAAGCCTAAGAACTGACATTCAAACTCCATTATAAAGCATCGCCGAACAGTTCTGTCACAACAAGAAGTAACATAAACTGACAAAGTAATTAACAGCCTACAAAATATCGCTACTGGAATATGGAGCTTTTAGAACTAAACGAAAAAAACTTATACAATATTCACTACTCACTGAAAACCAAACAAATAATAACCGGAAGGCTGAGTGATCCATGGCTTGCAAAGTCGAACTGAAATTTGTATGACTATATTCGGCCTGAGGATCTTGCGAGATACACAGAGTTTCAGAGGGTACAATCCTGTTTGGAGGAACTTCAGGTTATGCAGCTTTATGGAGTGAGAGTGCGGGCACGTTAGGATTCCTTGCGGGAGCAGGGGCTGCCCTTGCTGGACTCCTGGCTGCACAGGAAAGACCAAGCCGGTGCTTACATGGACCGGATTGTTGACGAGCCAGTAACGCCTACATCAAATGAATGATGTGATTATTACGACCCCAATTATGGAGATGTATGTTACGACTCGTATGAAGCCAGCTGTCCGTGAGGTGGTCACGGATACGGAGGAAATGGAACGGCTTGTCAGCGTGGTGCCACTGGTATTAAATGAATTTGATCGTGATTGTGAGGAGGACAGTCAACCAGTCAGAGGGAAAAGGCGAGCACCAGGCTAGTTTACCTTGTTACTACAGACAGCCCTGGAGGTCAGTTCCTCACCTCCTTCAGCTAATTAACACATACGTAAGTTCTGTCCTTTGTAAGAGTGCATAAACTGTAACCAGGGAGAATAATCATTCATGCTCTCTGTCTCTGTCTGTCTGTCTGTCTGTGTGTCTCTCTCTCTCTCTCTCTCTCTCTCTCTCTCTCTCTCTCTATCTATCTATCTATCTATCTATATCTCTCTCTCTTTAAACTACTTATGTTATAGTCTCTGTTAAACTTATTACAAGTACAGCAAATAACACTGGTGGTAGGAATATACCATCTGCTTTATTGATTGCGCGCTTATTGTATTTTACCTTACTGCTTGAAACAACAAGTATTTAAACAGTATCTGTGTTCAAAATATGAGGTTTCAATGATTCATGTTTCCTCTTTTACCAAGGCAGAAAACTCAAATGTTTACTACGAATAATTCTTCACTCATTCTTCACCATTTTGAATCACAGTTTCATGCAGCAACCGTTTATATTAATGGTTCCAAATCCCTAGATGGGGCAGATATATGTGGCTGTTTATCCAGACAGAGTAATCCAAGGGCATTTACTAGAATCAGCCAGCGTTTTCACAAAGAGTTATATACAATATTCATCACTGTTATGCACATTGTAATCATAACCACCTCATCATTCGTTGTTGTTTCCAACTTTCGAAGTGCATAATAAGTTATCAAAAAAATCTGACTCTTCATATCCGTTATCTTTTGCATACAACAGCGGTTGAGTTGTATTTTTAGTCTCTGGACATGTTGACGCTGAGGTTAATGTTAATGACTAAGCAGCTCGGTAGGCTATTCATGACTTACCAACTTCCATCAGGGGTTGCTCTTTTTCGAAGTATTTTCCAGCACTCTCACAACAATGAAATAAATTGCTTTCTCTCAAACTACAGAATCCTGGCCATCCTCCAACCACTGTTGGGTTTGTTTGGGAAATTACACTTTCACGAATCGGACACACACGCCTCAGACGTGGAAACCCCCTGCAGAAAAGTCCCGCAGTCCCGCACCTATCCACGAGGACTTTCATGTCGCAATATCATTCTCCATATCATAACAGACTTCTATCGGACAGCACACAGAATTCCCTTCCGACATCTTCGACGCCCTGACTCATTCACTCTAAATGACTTCGCCAAGAATCTCACATTTTTGATGAAATCTAATCTATTGCACCAACTTTAACTTTCATGTTAGTACCCATACTCCACTAACCCTTACCTCCTGACACCACACGCTACTCCCAGTACAATACCTCCTGACACCACACGCTACTCCCAGTACAATACCTCCTGACACCACACACTACTCCCAGTACAATACCTCCTGACACCACACGCTACTCCAGTACAATACCTCCTGACACCACACACTACTCCCAGTACAACACCTCCTGACACCACACACTACTCCCAGTACAATACCTCCTGACACCACACACTACTCCCAGTACAATACCTCCTGACACCACACGCTACTCCGAGTACAATACCTCCTGACACCACACACTACTCCCAATACAATACCTCCTGACACCACACACTACTCCCAGTACAATACCTCCTGACACCACACACTACTCCCGAGTACAATACCTCACTGACACCACACACTACTCCCAATACAATACCTCCTGACACCACACACTACTCCCAGTACAATACCTCCTGACACCACACGCTACTCCCAGTACTATATAATCCATACACGTTTAATTCTTGTTTTTCGATATAACATAAATAAATGTAAATCATAAATTTAAACGTAACTTTTTTAATTACTCATTGGTGGTTAAAAATAAATCATTATAATAAAAAATGAAGCGCTAAACCTACAAGGGCCATACAGCTTAAAAAAAAAAAGAGATCTCTACTATGGGCTCATTTCAAGATTCGCCTAACAAGAAAAACAGAGGAAAATGGAGAAACAAATTTTTAATTCGCTTTTTTGTTGAATTATGCAATAAAATTAACATTGCAGCTCGGTCTGATATTGTTAACATTAACGTAATGATACACATAACTCCTACAATATTTTGCGTCATAATAGTTCACTGTTATTCCACGGGGCACTTGCACTTACATACTGAAGGCCCTTAAATTTTTTCCTTAGATTAAATCTGATTAAATCCCGTGCCTAGGCTCTATGACCCTTGCGAATCTAACGCTTTCCCAAGACTGTAATCCTTAGAGGTCTGACCCATATGGGTCTAGCTTGTACTTTTTATCATAATAGTCCATGGGTGTTAGGGTTGAACTTAATGTGACTCCTGTTGGTGTAGACCTCCATGATTGATGCCAGCGAGTGATTTTTAAAAGTTACGTGAGCGAACACTTGGATATATTAATTAGAAAAAGTTTCGGCCCTGGTACATGGATCACTAGACAATATTTGGGCTGCCTGACGGCATCTCAAAAACCTCACTTGTTTTTTCATCAAGTAATTACCTGTCTCTCACACTTATATACACTGTCATTTTTTACCCTCTAATATGTTAGACGTGATCAAGGTCCCAGACCGAAACGTTTTCTGATAAATATGTCGTAGCTTCTGCTCATGTGATATATAAGACAAACACAGGCACAGGGCCAAGATCGACGGGAGCACAGAAGGTGCCAGCCTCTCTCTACTTACTGACACACAAGCTCTCCGACGATCCTGAACATCATGCAGGTGCCACCGTTGAGACAGTAGCCAGCGTACGGACACTCGTCAACGAAGGGATGAGGGTCTATGGCTGGGGAGAGAAGGTACTTACGGTAAACATATGTCTTGTACACAAGTTTACTATTTTATCGTTTTTTTTTGTGTTCAGAGAATAATCCAATGCATATATATATATATATATATATATATATATATATATATATATAATATATAATTATATATATATATATATATATATATATATATATATATATATATATATATATATATATAAAATATGAAAGACACTGTTTATACAATATTACAGTAAACATGAAAATGTGAATTTTTCAGATATGCTCTACACAGCCAAAGCAGAAATGCACTCCCATGATACAAGCGATCAAAATAGTGGGTGACAGCACTATGACTTTCGACCAGTATACTGCGTGGTGCACCAGCTAATGGGAGTGCCTTGATGCTCGTGTTAGGTTCTTGATCCAGGGAACTGGGGCTACCCTCTCCTTCCTTGGATCAAATATGGTTACTTCTTACTTCCCAGGTGCTCTATGACCCCTGCGAGTTCAGCGCTTCCCAATAAATCTACAATTTTAACTGCATGGTGTACCAGCAAGACAGGACGCATCCTATTCACTCTGACAACTAGTGCACCAATATATCCAGCAAGGTTTTAAGCATCTGCATTTCTGATATAAATGTTATCTGGAACCAAGCCGAGCTATATAACTATGATCTTGGTTAAAAATTGGCACTAACTTTGCATTATTCTTGTCACTGAAGCACAAAATAACTGACGGGTGTAAGGTCGTCCACAAGCACAAGTATACTGATGTCACTATGCACAATAACTGCTTCTGACGAATGGACGCTTGGTCAGTAATGATCTTGAAATGTTACCAGTTTAGCTAATTGTGTTAATTCCACTGCTGGGGTGCTCAGAAATAATGATTGGAGAAAAAAAAAGCAAATACTTGCACGTTACATAGCAAGTGGTAATGACTGTACTAAGCTTGTGATGATCAGCATTGTACAAAGCGTTGATGCAGGACGTTTAACGTACAGAAACAGACATAGCCGGTCAAATGTATATGGCAGTCACAAATGATTATTAAGCTGGTCATCGGTCAGTACATCCAGACTGTCAAATGTCCAAGTTCCAAGACTTCACACATACTATACAAATGCAAGGAGTTCTGTGAGCAGGGTGCATGAGAATGACTCATTGTGCCAGGCCACAGACTCAGCCACCTGGTATGGCTATAGTTACTCCAGACAGCCTGAAGAATCTGAGGCACTCTAAGTAGACTTAATCCTACTTAAATGATATAAACCTGGTAAGGGGGAATGTGAATAAGGGCTTGTGTGGAGCGAGTGGTGAAGCTTGCGGGGGTGTGGGAAGAGTGGTCATATGAAGCACTGGGCAAGGTGATGAAAGAGTGGGATGGAGTGAGTTAGTATTTATTGCATGGCTGTGTTGGAAGAGACATAACGTCAATATAAAAAGGATGGGCGAGACGATCAGTTATGTTGAAAAAAAGAGGTTATTACACAAAATTAAGTTTATATGTAGGGAGACTGAATGGGAAAACGTGGTGGTGATCAGGGAGTGGAGGTTCCCGGTTTACTGGTAACAATCACAGAATGGGAAAACCTTATATACCTCAAGCGTGCTTACTAAAAATTTTGTCTTTGTTTAGAGTTTTTTTTTTATTGCGAAATTTATAAGTAAAATAAAAACAAACAAATTAGAAAGATACTATCAAAATATAAACCTGAGTAGAGGGCAAGACAAGAAGTGTTGGTCCCTTCGAGAGTAAACATGCTGCAGCTTCAGACTGGAGGCGTCACACTGGGGAATGGCTTTGGTCAATCTACCAACTGCATGACTGAATAACCAACTTGCAAAGTTACAAATAATGAAGCGATACACTTAAGCAAATCTTTAGAAGAGCAGCTGAAATAAATATGAAATTCTTAGAGGATAAATATCAGAGGGAATAAAGACTGGGTAAAAGCAGGTAGACGAAGAATAAAATAGAGGATATGTAACAGACAGGCCAAGGCAGGGTTAATGAACAGGAGCTCAAGAATAGTTATATTTTGTTGAAGCAATGAAATACAAGAAAAACAAAAAAGGGAAGGACAGGAAGAACCGAAGGTAGAGAGAATGAGAGAATATGGAAAAAGAATGGAATGGCACGTAAGAATAAGGAAGATCAGCATGTCAGGGCAAGCCCAGTGTTTACGACCGACACACAAGGTGAAGGTGAAGACAGCGTGTCAGGTTGCTCGCAGAGGAAGCATACACAACAAAACTTAAGCTGCGGCTAAACAAACACGAAATGCAGAGGATATAGTAGAAAGATAAATGTATAGTATATAATTATTATTATATATATATATATAATATATATATATATATATATATATATATATATATATATATATATATATATATATATATATATATATATATATATATTACACACACACACACACAGAGCAAGGGGTAGCTGACAAGAAATGTTAGCAAGGGCTGAGAGTGGCAGTAGCAAAAGCAGTAGCAGCAGTAGCAGCAGAAGCAGCAGCAGCAGCAGCAGCAGCAGCAGCAGCAGCAGCAGCAGCAGCAGCAGCAGCAGCAGCAACAGCAGCAGCAGCAGCAGCAGCAACAGCAATAATAGCAGCAGCAGCAGCAGGAGGAACACCAATGCCGAGTACAGTGGCACTTACATGGTTGGGAACATGGCAGGAGATGAGGGACCAGCACGGTATGAAAGTAGAGGGAATCCACGTTACTGGGATGGGGTTCATTACAACACGGGGATCGCCACACCCCTCGGGAAAACCTGAGCTACAGGGACCTAAAGGCGTCTCTGTTCACGCCTTGTTTCCAGGATTTCACGAGGTCCCTGGTGGGTACTGGGAATTTGCAGTCATACAAACAGGGGGAGACAGGAGGCTACCAAATTATCTTGGTCACATGGATTCATAGGAGCCATGATAACAATAAGGAAACAAGGGAAATTTGATCCCAGGGGCAGTGTGTATAGACAGACATACTCGTAACATAAGAAAATAAATGAATATATATATATGTATATATATTATATATATATATATATATATATATATATATATATATATATAAATATATATATATATATAATATATATATATATACTAATACATATACAACACACACACACACAACACACACACCGCCCCAGTCAGTTTTCAAGACACTTATATACTCACTGTACATCGGTAGACATATATGATCACTGCTTAGATACTCTACTGTCCTTTATATTATTTTTAAATGACAGATATATGGTCTGCAAATACACACAATAATGTATCTTCAAAGTGGTAAACATTTTATCTAAAACTGATCTATAAGAAGATTATGTAGTGACCTGTACCTTACAAGGTCTCACATAGAGGACACACTGTAAATGATCAGCTTTTGCCTTTAAGGCTGTCAATCTCTAATCTCAAAAAAGATCTATATATATTAATAACAAAATGGTTCATGTGATAACTTATAAAGGTGTACAATTGTTATCTACAATGTCTCCCAAATAATAACATAAAGAGTGCCCATTATAATACTATAAACAGTGGCCAGTGTACTAATATACACAGTGATAATATACAATGTGATAACATACACGGCTCCGTACAGCATACACAGTAGCCAGTGTGATGATTTACAATGATCACTATAGTGTACACAGCTACAGCAAATTCTCAACGATGGCCTGAGCATTCTTCAACAGATCATCAGCCTGGGTAGTTGATGTTCACCACGATGCTCACCTAAAAATTACCTTTATGACACTCTTTGATAAATGATAGTATTATTTTTCCTCAGACAGTTGAGACGATCAGTAATGACAAACCTGTCATATACCTGTTACTGCCACACCTGTTACATACCTGTCAATGGTTCCAGGAAGCATCACCCCAGTGACCTGATGTCAGATCAGACTTCGAAATTATAAAGGAAGCGCCACAGGAATGTAAACGATTAAATAACACACAGAAAAAATGCACTGTTAAGTATATACCGAGTATAATTAGAATTGTATATTATTAACACTCTTACAACGTATTCTTGGAATCTAATTTCTGGTAAGTTTCAAGATATCTGTCAAAGAAACAAATTTGGTAATTTCGTCTTATATACACTTGTAAATTGATAAACTTACTTGTAGGAAATGCGAAGAAATATATTTAGGCTTAAGCTATTGAACATAAATTGTATTCTTCTTGAACAACTGGATGGTGGGAGATAACAGGTGAACAACTGGATGGTGCGAGATAACAGGTGAACAACTGGATGGTGGGAGATAACACGTGAACAACTGAATGGTGGGAGATAACAGGTGAACAACTGGATGGTGGGAGATAACAGGTGAACAACTGGATGTGGGAGATAACAGGTGAACAACTGGATGGTGGGAGATAACAGGTGAACAACTGGATGGGGAGATAACAGGTGAACAACTGGATGGTGGGAGATAACAGGTGAACAACTGGATGGTGGGAGATAACAGTGAACAACTGGATGGTGGGAGATAACAGTGAACAACTGGATGGTGGGAGATAACAGTGAACAACTGGATGGTGGGAGATAACAGGTGAACAACTGGATGGTGGGAGATAACAGGTGAACAACTGGATGGTGGGAGATAACACGTGAACAACTGGATGGTGGGAGATAACACGTGAACAATGGGATGGTGGGAGATAACACGCGAACAACTGGATGGTGGGAGATAACACGTGAACAACTGGATGGGGAGATAACACGTGAACAACTGAATGGTGGGAGATAACAGGTGAACAACTGGATGGTGGGAGATAACAGGTGAACAACTGAATGGTGGGAGATAACAGGTGAACAACTGGATGGTGGGAGATAACAAGTGAACAACTGGATGGTGGGAGATAACAGGTGAACAATTGGATGGTGGGAGATAACACGTGAACAACTGGATGGGGAGATAACAGGTGAACAACTGGATGGTGGGAGATAACAGGTGAACAATTGGATGGTGGGTGATA